CTCTGAGCCTTGTTTGGCAATCCATTCAGTGATGGTGTCACGATAAAAACACCCTTGATAGCCCTAGCGAAGCATCAAGAATCCAGCTATTGACAAGATTATGAACTACATTTGTACTCTGGAGGCACCCATCATCTGTCAATCGATCATGCAAGTTAACCTTTCCAGATAGGATAAAACGTGACACATTGATCCCTAAGGAAGATCTTTTAGGTGCTATGACAGATAGGGAATACCGGAGAGGTGTAGTGAGTTCAATCTCGGCTGAGGCCGCAAGATGATGATGATGATATTTTTTTCTCCATTGGCCCCGGTCATATCCGACATGCACATATACAATTCCTGAAAAAGAAGTAATATAAACTGTTGTGAGACCGTAACATACCTACAACATGGACTCTCCCAGGACAATATAAAGTATGCGATATAACACACTAGAGAGAGAAGAAGAGGAGAAGAGAGAGAGTATTCTAATACCGTAGTATCAGCCGCGTACGACTACCAATATTGGACATTAGCACATAGTAAGCTCCACTTACACTATCTTTGTAACCTTTTTGTTTAATATATCTTTCTGGCCTCTAATCCGTGTTCCGTGTTTTCCTTCCGTGGTCCCAACTTTGGGCCCACACCATAAACAACAAAATTCTGACCAGTTTTTCACGCTTAACAGCATTTTTTTAAAATGAAATACAGAATACCGGAGAGTTTGTCAATTTTTGCTCACTAGCTTCCCTGACCCAAGGTCAACGCATCAGTCACCAGTCTGGATACAAATCACATGCCAAAAATCCCCACGCGTCAAATAATTCCCTAACTTAGCCACATCCTTGACACTTAAATTTTATACTTTAAATATTCTATGATCCTCGCTTATTTTCTACAGGCAGTGACAAAACACAGTCCATTATCACCCTATTTATTCAACCACAACCAATTAATTACTGTTGTATTTGCGTACTACCAGATTTACTTGAACAAATCTTCACAAATTTACCACCATTAATTTTCTATAATCAGTATTATTGACCATCTGCCTCTGTGTGCCAAAACCTCAACTTTCATCATCTTCAATTACTTCTGCTCTTGGCTGCATCCCAGAGGAGAAACAACCACACCCGCTCAGTATCTCCTAATTAATCCATTACTGACTCTACCGTGGTTACAAGAGTCCCTGTGTCTTTTAGGCCCTACCGCAACTTGGCATCCCACAAGCGACTTCATCAATTCCATAACTGGTCATCTGGGTCCTTCCTTTACCCAGGCTTGGGGGTAACTTGGGTTTATATTCACTCGATACTTCATAGTGTAAAGCTCCTTCTCTACTCCACATTATTCCCCTATCTACAAAGCCAGGTGTGAGAATACCTCTCTCCCATCGGACACAGACTAAAAAACATTCGGAAATCCAAATCTATACAGACCGAATCTACTTATTCCCACAGTAATTAATTAAAATTAATTAAAATTACAAAATTCACCAATAAACAACATAATTCTTCAACCAATGAAGCCAAAAGGCGGTTCTTAAAATAAAAAATAAAAAATTCCACACTACTATAAAAATGAAAAAAAAAAAATCATTTGTCTGTTAATTACAATTAACGAAATAATTCTAAACTTAAAACATTTCAATGCACCCAAAACCATACCCACAAAAATGTTAAACTCATTAACAGTCCACAAAAATCACAATAAGAATGCCCCATCACAAAATGCCGTCAGTCTTTCTTTTTCAAAACCATTTTCCAGGGCGTTACGTACGCAAATTCAGGCTTCCACGTGGCCAAAAGGCTACCAAACAACATTTGAATCCACCCAAAAATATTAAACGTGCCAATGAAAATGAAAAATAGATTTGCGCACATGGTCCTAAACTTTTGTAAAAAGACAAAACAAAACAAAAATCAGTCTCTCACTAAAATGTTTCATCAAAATTGATATTTTCACATCAGAGTGTATACATGACTGTGGATGTTCATTGTTCTTTCCTTCCTTTTTCTACTCTATTTGTTCCTTTCTTTTTTTCTGTCAATTATCCCGGCTCGTTTATTGATTTCTCTTTTTATTTTTTATTTTTTTGCTTTTTATCATCACCACTTCGTATTTTGGTTTGTTGAAGATGTGTGAGTGTGTGTGTGGCTGGAGAAGAAAGTAATATCATCGTACTTATAGGCTGTCTAATATGTCTAGACTTTTGTTTTTCTTTATATTCTCCCTTTTTTTAATCCTCAGTCGAAAATCCTCTCCGACCTTTTCCACGTTCTGTTACAACCTTGATCGAGCCCCCACCACCAAACCACCACAACCACCACCTCCATGCTAGAAGGTCCTGGTCACTGTACCAAATTGTCTTATATTGTACTACCTCTTGTGCTTGGAAGGTCTTGGGGGCGACGACGTCAATTAATAAATTGCTGTATATCTTCTAACTAGCCAGTCAAAGCAGAATAAAATTATTTAACATAAACAATCTTAGATAGATAGATAGATAGATAGATAGATAGATAGATAGATAGATGAAAGGAGGAAGAGAGGTAGATGTACAAACCGTGACAGATAGAGAGAGATTGGATGTACAGAGATAGATAAATATAAACAGACTGAGATAGATAGATAGATAGATAGATAGATAGATAGATAGATAGATAGATAGATAGATAGATAGATGAAAGGAGGAAGAGAGGTAGATGTACAAACCGTGACAGATAGAGAGAGAGATTGGGAGATGTACAGAGATAGATAAATATGAACAGACTGAGATAGATGATAGATAGATAGATAGATAGATAGATAGATAGATAGATAGATAGGAAGAGATGAGATAGATAGATAATGAAAGATAACAAAGAAAAATATGGAATGAAAGTCAAAGAAAATATGGTGTCGATAGATCGAGAGAGACAGGAAGGGAGAGAGGTAGATGTACAAACTGTGATGTAGAGACAGAGACAGGGCGTGCGAGAAAGATATATATTTTAATGTGAGGGGTGGGCGAGATCGATAGAGAAGGAGCAAAAAGAGAGTTTACAGAATATTCATGTATTTTAATAAAATAAAAAAAAATATATGTATCTCCCGGGATAGATTCATTTCGCTTTTTATCATTATTTTTTTTTAAAGAGTGACAATACAAAATTGAAATTATTCAATATATCAGTCCTCCAGCATCGATTCAATGCAAATGTCTAGTTTACACGCTTAAATGTACATTTTACATGTTTTGTTTATTTATTTATTTATTCATTTTTTTTTTTTTTTTTTACATGATTAAAATCATAAAATTCCTCTGAAGGATAAGTTATGCCATTTTGCTCGTGGAAGCTTCCTGCAGCCATAAGTTTTTCCCAACTTTGAGGAATAGGTTTTTTTTCTCTGTCAGCTTCGAGCGCCAGTTCGCTTGTGAAAAACAAATAGAATTCTGTGTTTTTTTTTTTTAAGAAATTTGACAGTAACTTCTTTTATATTAATACCTCCATTCCATAATAACTTTTACTTTTACTATATGAAATATGACACATTTTTAAATTCATTGTATTTTCAGTGCTTGGCACCATTAATTTTATTAAATATTTCAACGATTTCATTTAAATTTAAGCCTATTTAGCTATTTAAAATGCAGCAAGGTTTCCGTTTAATGGAATATCACTAGCCATCTGTTGCAATCAGTCTAAGAAAAGAGAAACATCTGGTTCTTACTATTTCTTAGGATATCTACACCCGTTCGTCTGGCTACGAGGATTACATCTGGTCGTCTGGCATGAACTAGATATTTTTTCCTTATAATGTCTACATCTGGTCATCTGGCCTGTACTGAACAATTTTATTTATTGTTTTTCTTTCTCTGGTCTTCTGCTTACGATGATTACATTTGGCCTGGACTGACACATTTCTTATTGTTTACAATGTCTACATCTGGTAGTCTAACCATGATGATTACATCTGGTCGTCTGGTTTGGATTGAACAAATTTAGTATTGTTTAAGATGACTACATCTGGCAGTTTTACTACGATGATTACATCTGGTAGTTTTACTACGATAATTACATCTGGTCGTCTGGCCTGAACTGAACGATGTTTTTATTGCTTATGTACTTTACATCTGGTTTTCTGACTACGATGATTACATCTGGCCTGGACTGAATAACTTTCTTATTGCTTACACTGTGTACATCTGGTAGTCTGACAACGATATTTACATCTGATCGTCTGGCCTAAATTGAACAAATTTAACATTGATTACGATGTCTATATCTCGTTGTTTGAACTTATTGCTTACCATGAATAATTCTGTTCGTCTGGGTCCGAATGTTTGATCTTTTTTTTTTAATTCTTGTCAAGAATTGACACCATTTACAAATAAGGAAGAAAATATATATAATTTTGATTCTTAATCTTTCCTTGGCTGGAATTTCCAAAGACTTAAGTTTTAGATCTGAAATCATTAGACGTATAAACTTCATTCACATTCAAAATCGTTCCAAGTTATTGGAACACCCTTTTATAAAAAAAAAAAGTGAGCGCCTTCATTTTCAATGACGACAACCCAACAGGAAGAGAATTTTTCTATTCTACGTTTGAAGATATTCTGAGTTTTTTTTTTTTGTTTGTTTTTTCCGCCAGAAAAAAGAAGTTAAAAAACGTTTTTTTTCAAATTCTTCATTTCTGACCGCTCTGCCAATTATGAAACAATGATTGAAACATATGGAAACCTGTAGGCGCTATATCTGGCGAGGAGGAAAATGTGGAAGAACCTCCCATTCAAAACGATTTTTTTTTTTGTCATGGATTTATTCTTTTTTTTTTTTTTGCTGAATATACCCTTCCATTGCCATAGTAGAAAAAATATTCTTTCTACCAAAGCAGGCTACATTCAAACCTAATGTTTCGTTTATGCGATCAAGTTGCGCGCAATAGACGTTAGCAGTGATTAGTCAATTCAATCAGCTTTTTCAATAGTTCTTTATTAAGAGATGATCGCCTTTCAGATCGTGACAAGCCTATGGCCATATCACGTTGAAACACCGGTTCTCGGGCGATCATTGAAGTTAAGCAAATATGAACCTGGTTAGTACCTAGATAGTAGGCCGCTTCGGAATATTAAGTGCTGTAATATTGGATGTGCGGTTGGTGTAGTGGATAACGACTCGGTATTGGAAATCGGAGATCTGAGTTCTAATTCCAGTCGGGTACGCTAAATTACTTACGCGCAAATGCCATTGGGAAAGGTATGAATCCACCTCTTCTCCCCCATCTGTGGGTTAATTAGCAGGACTTGCATCAGTAAAAAGTTTATTATATCCCAAAACTCTGACAATCTGAAAATATTTTCTAGCTTCAAATAACCTACAAAAGGTTGATAAGCCGTAAAAAACAAATCAATCAAACCCTGAACGTGACTAGCTGGATATGCAACAATCGATAATTATAAAATCTTTTATGTCCTTCCGTACTATATGCCATAAAATAAATGCTCTATTTACAAAAGTGTATACTTTTAGTCTAATATTTCGTTTATACAATCAAGTTGATGTTAATAAGCATTTATAATCTACATATATAAAACAGAGGATGTCTGTCTGTCTGTCTGTCTGTCTGTCTGTTTTTCTGTGTGGTACCTTTTCACTCGAGATCTATTCAACCAAATTTGAACAAATTTGGTACATACATTGTGCAATGTAAGAGATAGGTTCTTAGCGTAACAGATCGATAAATTTTTAAAAAATCAATAATCGATAAAGCCGATCAAAATCGATAAATTCAACTTTTTTCCTCTGATTTCGTTCATACTCGGTATGTAGGTTACTTACATCATAACGAGCTCAATGATGCCTCATATTTTTATTTCTACGGTACTGCGTTTAGTGAAAAGCCGCGAAGAACAAAAATCGATTTCAACACAAATTGATTTCAACACAAATTGATTTCAACACAAATTTTAAACTAAAAACTCCCTCCATTTTCAAGCAAACTCAATTGTAGCCAACAATAAGTTGATTGTTTAACATCCATTTAACTAGATTATTGAGTTCACCCATTTAGGGAAAACCCACGTAAATAGAGAAAAATGGCGCTTTTTACTGGTTTTTTTCTTATTTTTTGTCGATCTTTCAACCAATTTTCATCATATTTAACAATTGTTTTTATAAATGTATCCCCTTTTTTACATTACTGGTAGCACACTGACACTTTCAATATCTCAAAAATAATTGTGGTCTGAACTGGGTCTTCATGTTGCCTGTTTTATCTCTTCATGTCCTCGGCTAACTTCGATTGAATAAATACCGACTACTTCTGTTATATGAGTAACTGTATTAATTCAAAACGTTTTAATGGAAGTACTTTAAAGTAATTGAAGATAAACTTGCGCTATTCTAATTGAACAGTTTTTGTGATAAACCAGCTGGGTATGGCTGCAAGTGATAGATAAATTCAATAGGCTCTTTCAAAAGATCTTCATTCATAGTGGGCCGTCTTTCTGAGTGTGGCCTGTTGCCTATCCAGCAATCGACATTTTAAAACCACAGACATACACGAGCCTTCTCTGCCTCCGTATATAACTGGTGAGTAGTGAATATATGCGATAACTTTCCACCCTAACGAACTTATCGTTTCTTGGGTTTGTTTAGCAGTGTGTTTTTGCATTGTCGGTCTGATAATCAACAACTTTTCTGATTCCCAAATCAGAAAGCTTTCGCCGAAATGTTTCCATTACATTTATCTAGTATTCTTGTTCAGTGCTACGCGTCCCTACAGAACATGGGCGATCGTGGGTCTACACAACGTTCTGTGCTTTTTAGCTCTTTGTAAAATTTGTGACTTTGCTATCTCTCCTACAACCTGTTCTTCCAATTATTTAGATAGCTTATTCGCTGTCTTCCTCAGTCCCTCTTGGATTCAATATGTCCTCTGAGTGTTAGAGTGCCCAAGATGTCATTATTTTCCCTATAAATTACTATTGTAATTTTCTGATTTTTATTATAATTGTACTTTTTATTTCCTTAACACTTTGTCGCTACTCACATATTCAGTCAATTGGATTCTCATCATCCTTCTGTAGAACTACATTTCTGTTGAATTAAGTCTATTTCAATCTAGTATTTTACGTCCTCTGTTAAAACGCTTCTTGCCTATTTAATTTTTGTACTTGTTTTTATTTAGAATCTTTAGTTTGTAATTGTATCATCTAGGACATAAATGAATGGAATCGTCCGTTTATATAAATAAGCGGAGTTACGTGAAGTTAAGGAGAGTTAGCATTAGGTCTTAGCCTCACGTTAAGCTGTTTAGTCTTTGTCGAACTCTCTGCCTTTGGGTAGAAAGGAACCCAGACGAGACTATGTCAAAGGACAGAGTCTCGTCTGGGGAGGTAGACAAACCCGACTCCGTTATTACGGTGAAATTTTGCCCGGGTCTACATGTTCGGAAAAGACCCACGTAAAACCGGCTTTTATTCCACATCCTGCTCTGTGGAGAGATCGGATAAATAACGAATTATCATTAGGTCTTAGCCGCGGGCTAAGCTCCTAGTGATTGTCGAACTCTCTGCCTTTGCGCAGAGAGGAACCCAGACGATACACTGCCGAAGGCAGTCACGTCTGGAGAGGTAAACAAACTCGACCCCGTTATTACGGGGACATTTTACCCGGACCTATGGGCTCGAAAAATGCATGTTAAACCGGCCTTGTGCTCCTTCCATCTGTGGGGAGCTCGGATAAATACTGGGTTAGCATTAGGTCATTTGCTAAGTGTATCTTCTTGTAGTAATCCTTCTATTTCATTACTTACGTTAATGAGTTTGTCTTCCTTATTATTTTCTCTCTGTTATCTCGAAAACATGAGATGCAACAAAGGACTTGTCTACATCCACCCTCTTCCTTCAAGTCAAGAGGAACTTCAGCAGAGAACCACTGAGGTGTTGGAGAATGTTACGCAAGACATGCTACGGCCTGTTTGACAGAAGCTGGACGACCGCCTTGACGTCTGTCGTATCACAGGTAGTGGGCATATTGAACATTTATAAAGCTTTGTGAAATCTGTTGTAAAATCTGCATACCTTTTGAATATCTTGTCTGAATTTTGATGAATAAATCTTTTATTTTTCAAAATGTAGCCTATTTAATTTAATGTGTGAAAACTAAGTTGACTGTGTAGACTTATCTCAATGAGAATCTTCCAGGAAGATGGACCGGATGTGTCACTAATAATGATAATTTCCTCTTGAAATGACCACCATGTTCACCTAACTTGAAACCATGTGATTCTTTCTATGTGTCTATGTGAAACGATGTCATCCAAGACATAAATGAATGAAATCGCCCGTTTATATAAATAAGCGGAGTTGCGTGGAGTTCAGGAGAGTTAGCATTAGGTCTTAGCCTCGCGTTAAGCTGTTTAGTCTTTGTCGATCTCTCTGCCTTTGGGCAGAAAGGAACCTAGACGAGGCTATGTCAAAGGACAGAGTCTCGTCTGGGGAGGTAGACAAACTCGACCCCGTTATTACGGGGTCTACGTGGAAATTTTGCCCGGGCCTATCTTCTCGGAAAAAACCCATGTTAAACCGGCCTTGTTCCACTTCCGTCTGTGGAGAGCTCGGGTAAATATCATTAGGTCATTTTCTCAGTGTATCCTCTTGTAGTAAACCTTATGGTTCATTACTTGCCTTAATGAGTTTGTTTTCTTATTATTTTCTCTCTTATCTCTGTTATCTCGAAAACTTGAGATAAAACAAAGGACATGTCTATATCCACCCTCTGTCGACAAGTCATGAGAATGTTACGCAAGACATGCTACAGCGTGTTTGGCAAAAGCTGGACTACCGCCTTGACGTCTGTCGTATCAAAGGTGGTGAGCATATTGAACATTTGTGAAGCTTTATGAAATCTGTTGTAAAATCTACATCCCTTTTGAATATCTTGTCTGAATTTTGATGAATAAATCTTTTAGTATCTGTCTATATTTCTGAGATGAGGCATTATGTACACTGTTTACATTATTCGAACTCTCTACCTTTGGGCAGAAAGGAACCTAGACGAGGCTATGCCAAAGGACAGAGTCTCATCTGGGGAGGTAGACAAATCCGACCCCGTTATTACGGTGTCTACGTAGAATTTTTGCCCGGGCCTACGGGCTCGGAAAAACCCACGTAAAACCGGCTTTGTGCCACATCCGGCTCCGTGGGGAACTCGGATAAATAACGAGTTATCATTAGGTCTTAGCCGCTCGCTAAGGACATAGTGCTTGTCGAACACTCTGCTTTCGAGCAGAGAGAAACTTGAAGACAAGGCTATGTCGAAAGGCAGAGTCTCGTCTGGGGAGGTAGACAATCCCGACCCTGTTATTACCGGGTCTACAGGAACATTTTTCCATGGGTCTACTGTCTCTGAAAAACCCACGTTAAACCGGCCTTGTGCCATATCCCTCTCTGCGGGTGGCTCGGGTAAATACCGAGTTAGCATTAGGTCATTTGCTAAGTATACCTTCGTGTAGTAAACTTTCTATTTCTTTACGTACCTACGAGTTTGCTATTTATTTATTTCCCTTTGTTATCTTAAAAATACGAGATATAACAAATTCGGATGTTGATCTGTTTATTTTGCTGACAACCATACACTTTGTCTTCTTGGAATTTATAATTAGTCCTTTCTTCTGGCTTTCCTTTATTAACTTCTGTAGATGTTCATGTAGCTTACTTTCTGTGTCTGCTATGAACACATTGTCATCTGCATATCTTATGTTGTTGAGGTTATGGCCGCCAATAATTCTCTCCAGATCGCCTCAGTGCTGAATACGTCCGGTTGGATGACACCTCTTTGTCTTGAGCACCTTTCAATTTTGTGTATTTACAGACTTCATTTTTATCCGTATGCAGACATTTTGCCCCCAATATCAGTTCTTGTCTATATATAAAATTCTGTGACTTCCGTTATTCCGTCCGTATGTTTGGTACACCCTCTAAAATAGCCATACATTGACCGATCGAAATCAAATCATGGGGAGAAGTGTAAACAGGTTATAAAGTACAGTTGTTTTTAATATGGTGTGTAGCTTAGTACAATAAACTTTCATTCATTTTTTGGAAAAATTATAAGATTTATTATTTAACATACAGAA